AAGTGTGGAGAAGTCTCGCGTGATCCTTGAAGCCTGGGCGCCCTCCCCTGAGGGTGTCTGTGCTGCCTGACACATCGATCCTGCTGGGCAGGTGGAAGAAGAGGTGCAGTTCTCCAGCTGGGGACGAACATGCTGTCTGCGTGCATCCCTTTTGCCCTGGGACGAACCCGCCACCATCGGGACGCATGCCATGCCCAGCAAAAGCCCCTGCAGGGACTTAAGCGCACTTCAGTCTTCTTCGTTCCTTCTTACTTCCTTCTTCTTCCTTCCTTCCTTCCTTCTTCCTTCTTCCTTCCTTCCTTCTTCTCCTTTCCTATCCTTTTTGAGACAGAGTCTCAACTCCCATTGCCAGGGCTACAGTGAGTGGCAATGGCATCAGCACTAGCTCACAGCAACCTCAAAACTCCTGGGCTCCAAGCAATCCTCCTGCGTCAGCCTCCCCAGTAGCTGGGACTACAGGCGTGCCCACCAATGCGCTCATCTTTTTCTTTTATTTTTTAGTTGGCAAAATTCATTTATTTCCTATTGTTAGTAGAGATGGGGGATCTGTGCTGTTGCTCAGGCATGGTCTCAAACTCTGAGCTAAAAAAATCTGCCCCTCGGCCTCCAGAGTGCTAGGGATTACAGGCTGAGCACCAGCGTTCACCTCTGTGAGCCTCAGTTTCCTCATCCGTAGAATGGCAATGGAGGTCCACCCATGAAGATCAACTATACGGTAAAAGCACCGCGTTAGGGTGGAAGTGGGGAGCTAGGGGAGGCTGCTTTTGTCATCTTAGGGTGGGTTTGATACAAACAGAACAGCGTGGAGACTGGTAAACAAGCAGACAAATCCTCACTTACGCCAGGTCCCTCAAGCCAAAACAAGATCAGCCAGGGCTTGCAAAGGCCCGCGATGAGGGTGTACAATAGGTGATGCTTCTACTGTTTGGAGAGCCTCCGATGGGCAGGTGAGCAGTGGGGCGCGGGGAGGGGGGCTAGGGAGGCTCAGTGGTCAGCTGCAACGGTTTTTCTGGGCCTTTTCTTCACTCAACAATCAGAACCGGGTGTCCCTTTATTGGTTTCTACTGGGAGAATCCAAGAAGAGATAAAATGTGGGTGGCTCCATCCTTGAGAAACCCTCAGATAGACGCAGAGGGCAGAGACTGCTCAGCACAAGAGGCCGTGGTTTGACACGAGCAAATTACCACTGTGCCAGCTGGTCATCAGGGTCAGGGAGGTCTAAGCAAGAAAGGCTTCCTGAAGAGACTGGAGCCTGCTGGCAGGACCAGAACCCAGGGGCCGCGCTGGTGACCCCTTGGGAAAGCAGCTGTCCTTTCAGGAGTGTGGCCTATAATGAGCTGGAGAGCAGGGGCGGGCAGACTGGAGCCCTGGGGGCAGATTGCTCAGCTCTCCAGAACCTTCCCCAGCCAGGCTGCCCTGTTGCTGCCTGCAGGATGGGGGGTGAATAATGAACTGCTTATCTTCTCTTCAGCCTCTCTCAGGGACTCTGCCCGGCCCAGCCCAGGAGAAGACGGGAGCTGGGAAGCTCAGGGAGGGCTGGGAGCAGCCGCCAGCCACAGTGAGCAGAGGGCGCAGGCAGACCTGGCAGGCGTTGAGGGCTGGAGTCTCGGGCGGCCAGCCCTTGACACCTCGCACGGGGATGGTGCCTGGTCTTCACTTGTTCTGTGTCAGAGTTACAGCCCCGCGCTGGGGACGCTGGCTCTCTGCGTCTGTCTGCTGGGCCTCCCGTGGAAGCCAGGCCTGGTGGAGCCACATGAATATTGATGTCTGCGCAGCCACCCTGCAGGGAGAGCCGCGGAGCCCCGCTGGGCAGCCCTGGGTGCATGGAGTCCTGATGCGAGGGGGCTGGCGGAGGCCAGGGGCTGCCAGGAGGGGCAGGAACCCCAGGACGGAGAAGACCGCAGGGTGACAAACACCAAATCCAGCAGTCACCTGCGGGGAGGAAGAGGAGAGCGAAGGGGTGGCCTTGCAAAATAACAGGGAAACACCTAACCCGACAACTGTCCCCGTAACAATTAAACGTCAGTCCCGCGAGTTCTCTCGCTAACAGGCGCCTGCGGAAGTCAAGCTTTGCACAACTTCTGGAAAAGCTGCATGGACAGAAAACAGATGTGAATCTCTCTCCTTCAAAATTGTTGTTTTGAGAATCTGCTTTTACAGAGTTCCCGAGTAAACAGCGGGAGCAGGAGCTACAGCCTCAGCCATATCTGGAGGACAGAGGCACATCTCCGGTGACCATCCCTTCTCCAAGGGAGGCAGGACACCGAGTCTTGGACTTTGACATCCTTGCAGTTTTTGTTATCTACCTGCTGCCGCTTTTTAAAAATCAACTGGCAGCCATCACTAGTTTTCTGTCTTCCTCCCCCTTAAAATCAGCAAGACCCTTGGCCTCGCTGCTGGCACGGCCTTCTCTTTGTTTGGGATGCCATGCATTTCCCTTCCCTTCCCTTCCCTTCCTTCCTTCCCTTCCCTTCCCTTCCCTTCACCTTCCCCTTCCCTTCCCTTCCCTTCCCTTCCCTTCCCTTCCCTTCCCTTCCCTTCCCCTCTCTCTCATATTCTCTCTGTCCTTCTAAAGACTAAAATAAACTTTTAACTGTTATAACTTAATTTCTGCATGAGAAATCTTTCCCCACTGCACTGTGAGCACCCACTAGCCTTTCCACCCTAACGGAGTAGGCAGGCGATCCTCCATCTTGGTCTCCCAGAGTGTTAGGATTGCAGGCGTGAGCCGCCCCGCGCCGGGCCGGATTTCTTTTTTTTGGTTGCCTTCCAGGGTTGGATTTTTTTGGGCCCTTGGGGGGGGGGGGGTTTTTTTGGAGGGCCCGGAGGCTTCCTTCCATTAGGGGAGACACTCTCATGAGTCAGACCCGGCACCAGCAGTTCTTACTGTGCGGAGGAGCCGTATCACTTAGACCAACATGGATTCAATCAGAGAAGACTTCTCGGAGGAGGTGAGTATGGGGCAGGGACTGGAAGGAGAGGTGCTGGGAGGGCACCCAGATGGAGAACAGTGACCTGGTTCTCTTGGAGCCGGGTGGGGGTGAGGGTTCCTGGGTTGTGCTGTGTCAGAGACCAAGGGTCCAGTGTGACAACCAAGGGCCATCAGAGTGAACGAGATTGTCTGGGAAGGGGAAGAGGGAAGACAGGCTTCCCCAGGGCAGCTGGGGACGGGATGTCCAACTGTCCTCCAGTGGGATGTGCAGGGCTCCAGCTGCAAGTGCTCCTCCCTTCCTGGGAAAAATGCAAATGGTGCTCGTGACTGCCTCAGCGCTGGGCCCAGGCTGGACTGCGTGCTGGGGGGGGGGACTGCCCTGCAGGAGGGAGGGCAAGGTGCCAAAGTGCTGTGTGACTTCATAGGACTTCCTATTGTAAGGGTGGGGGCGGGGCACGGGGGTGCTCAGGATCTTACAGAGCGTCTCTGCTTTTATGAATGTGCTTCTTCCAATCGGACAAAGACGTGTCTTTGCAAATCTGTGTGTGTGAGCATGTTTACACAAGCCCCTGGGCCACACCCTTCTGGTTTTTATTAGCAGCCTCTTTCTGTCATTCTCAGACTTTCCCTTTCACAGCCTGAGGCCCCGTCAGCCCTCCTGCTGAGCAGGGGCTGGGACCTAGGGTGAGCCATCCCTGGTGCTGCTCTGCCAGGCCCCTGGGAGGAAGCCCCTCTCCTCCCACCCACCCATCCCAGGGGGGAAGCCAGGCCTGCAGGGAAGGAGGGAAAGAAGTCTAGGGATTAATTCACCGACACTCATGCAACATGCATTTTTAAAGATCTTTTGTGTTGGGTGCCGTGGATAGAGTTATGACATAGCAGGGAATTCCTTATATCCAACGTTTTCCTGGCTTTTCCTGAAATTGTCTTTTTCTAGAGAAGCTCAGTGGTGAATCACTGGAATCCCCACTTCCCTGCCCTTCCTCTCTTCTCATCCTTTCCTCCCACCCACTGCAGCAACCCAGGCTGGGACGGGCAGAACAGGATGGGCCCTGGGGCCCTTCAAGCCCTTTGGCATGGGGGGAATGGGTCACCCCTACAGCAAGCCTGGCAAACCGGCCCCTAGCATCCCAGGTCACTGGGGCTGTGGCTTCCCTCTGTCTCTCTCAGAGAAGGACTTGTGTGCCCTGGAAGAGAACAATGGCCTGGGACAAGGTTCTGACCTGTTGCCTCCCTAGCAGCCCTCCGTTCTCTGCAGGGAGCAGCCTCAGGAAGCAGGTAGCAGAGACTTGAAGCTGTTGCCGTGAGTTTTTCTTCCGTTCCCCTTGGGGAAGAGAACTGGGGCCCAGGGAAGTGCTATTTGTGGGTTCTTAGCTGTTAAGCCAGGGCTGGGTGGGGAATTGTTGGCCCAGGAGGAGTGCTGGCCAGGGCAGCAGGGCTGGGTACTCATCTCTGCTCCCATCCTCTGCGTTTTGTCCTCTGTCACTGTCCTGTACATTCTCCGTGGAAGAAGAGGTGCTACAACATTTTATTTGCTATTTCTGGGGCCTCGTGCTATTGTTTTGTTTTGTCTTTGAGACAGGGTCTTGCTCTGTTGCCCAGGCTGGAGTGCAGTGGCGTCATCATAGGTCACTGCAACCTCAAACTCCTGCCTCAGCCTCCCAAAGTGCTACGATTGCAGCCTGTTTTGTTTTGTGAATGTACTCTACTCTGTACCTGTTCGCCCTCCCAGATTGGAAGGTTCCTGAGGGAAGGGTGGTGCCTCCCAAGCATGGAGCCCCCTGAGGGCCCCTTCCCTCTTCCCTGCATCCTGCCTTCTGTGCAGGGCTTGCACCCGCCATTGGCTGATTAGGAAACTTGCTTCCTTCTGTGAGCATAGAGCAAAGTCATCAGACAGCTTCTTCCTCCAAAAACTTCCAGAGAAACCTCCAGAGCCCTTTGTGAAGAAGATCTACATGTCCTCCTGAGATGTCTGGGAAACCAGAGGACAGAAATCACCAAGTTTTTTCTCTATCAGAGCGGGGAACCCCTGACAAAGCAAGCATTTTAGCCAGACACACAAATCTGGGAGTTAGCAAAACCAGGACTCGGATGCATAGCTCTTTCCCTCCCAGCCTCAGCGTGGCTCAGCGTGGCTCCTGTTTGGTGGGGTTTTAGCAAGTTGAAAAAAGAAAAAAAGCTCAATACATCAATAGGGGATACTGAAACGGCTCAGCAAAGCCTCGCTGGCGGTTTTATGGAGCCAGTTCGCTCGCTCCTGAGAGTGGAGGCCTGGGGTTGGCTGCACAGGGACACCGGCCAGACGGGGGCTACACACAGGCACAAGAGAGTGGCTGCTCTGACTGAAAGCAGGTTTCTAAACCCTCTCGGGGGAGGTGAAGAAAGAGCATGAAAGGAGAAGTGGGGAGTGAGGCCGGGTGGCAGGCAGCAATGCCGGGGCAGGGACTGTGGGGGTGATGGATGGGCTACAGCGGAGCCTAAGGGGCAGCCATCACTTGCTGTCGAGACCAAGCGGCAGATAATAAAGCGAGGCAGCCAGCCAGAGCAGCGCTGGCAGGTCGCATGGATCACAGACAGGCAGGCCTGGTGCGGGAGGAGGGATGGGGACTCCTCAGAGCAGAGAGAAACGAAAAGACCTGGCCGGTCCGGCAAGGAGGGCTGGGAGAAAAGGGGGTCGAGGTGTCGTTGGGCACCCAGTCTTCGGTTTCTGAGAGGGACAGTCCTTGGGCTGTGTAAGAGTATAGGGGAGGCGCATGGGTGCTGAAGAGAGTGGGGAAGGGGGGAGCAGAGGGGACAGAGACAGGCAGGAGCCCACTGGGAGCCGGGAGGGTGCAGTGGAGAGGGGGAGGGGAGGCTGTGCACCCGTGTCTTCCCGCCAGGCAGCTGATTCAGCCCCTGGGGCACCTGCAGGGCAGAGGAGTCGGCCCTGGCTTCTTGTTGCCTGTCCACCTTCGCTCCCAGCTGGGGGCCGTGCTCGTAGGTGGTGTCTAGAAATGGAAGAAGATGCATTTGCTGATGACTTGGAAATGTTATCTCCTCTCTCCCATCTCTCCAGCAAGCAAACTTCCTTCCCCATCTCCTGGCCACCCTCCTTCCTATGCCCACTTTGTCTTGTCTTCCCCGGGGATTGGGGGCAACTGTTGCCTGCAGAGGAGAGAACCCGGTCAGTGCTCAGAATTCCCCCAGGAGGCCAGAGTGTTTTGTGAGCTGGAGCTATTGTTGTATCACATCAGAGTTTAAGCTTGCTGTTGTTGGTATCTTTAAATCGATGGCAATACACAAAGGCTTCATCCGAATCGATGCTGGTATCTGCGGGTGCTAAGAGCCCGTCGGGGAGAGATCCGTTAACGGTAAAGGAAGGGCAGACAGACAGCGGGTGGAGAGGAAGGCAGCCAGGGCCCGAGATCAGACGCCAGGACCCAGGGCAGGCCTGGGAGGGGTCCTCGTCTGATGCCGGCCAGCTGGGGCCCGTGGAACTGCGGCCACAGGAAGGTGAGCATTAGGGAGGCTGAGTGCGGCCACCTTGTTCCACTCTTGTCTCAGCCATGTTCCTGGCCGAAGACGGGTTTCTCGAGGATATCCCAGGAATGGAATGATCTGAATTAAAAGCCTAAATAGGGGTGAGAGAGCGCCAAGGGATGTTCTTCTTTCCCAACAGAGGTCAAGACGTGCAGCTCTCCGGGCGGGCGCGGTGGCTCACGCCTGTGATCCTAGCACTCTGGGAGGCCGAGGCGGGCGGATTGCTCAAGGTCAGGAGTTCGAAACCAGCCTGAGCAAGAGCGAGACCCCGTCTCTACTATAAATAGAAAGAAATTAATTGGCTAACTAATATATATAGAAAAAATTAGCCGGGCATGGTGGTGCATGCCTGTAGTCCCAGCTACTCGGGAGGCTGAGGCAGGAGGATGGCTTGAGCCCAAGAGTGTGAGGTTGTTGTGAGCTAGGCTGATGCCACGGCACTCACTCTATCCTAGGCAACAAAGCGAGACTCTGTCTCAAAAAAAAAAATAAATAAAAGACGTGCAGCTCTCTGATCTGAAGACAGAAGGGCAGAGCAAAGTTCCTACAGTTTGAATTTTTATGAATCTTATTACTATCGGTGATGTTATGAATGATTAATAAGGCAAGTCTGAATGGGAGGTAATGTCCAGTGGAGACAAGGAAGGAAGGCGGGAAAGTGATTAATATTTATCGAGAGGGGACACACGTCATCCTTTCTGCTTGGAGCTTCCGCACACGCTCTCTCCCAGTTTAACCCAGACAGGCTGCAGCCTGGGTTTAACTCCTTGCCTCCCACAGCTGCGGCTGTCTGCCTTCCCTCCCTCTGGGCCTTGGGGACTCAGGTCGGTGTTCCCCATGAGTTTCTGTCCCCAGGGGCCGTCCTGGATCAGCAGCATCAAGAGAACAGGTTTTCAGAATCTCCCCGTCGCGTCTTGCGTTGACTCAAGCCACCAAGCTGGAATGGAGCTGGAGGGGGTGGAACAGGCTTGGAGGAGGAGGTGAGCAGGGGACACTTGGTACTCCTGGTC